CCTGAGACTCCTATTGTATGTATAGATGTATGTAACAGTATAGATGTTGTCTACGCGTATGTTTTCTACTTTTGTAAACTGCGCACCGATATGGATTGTCGAATCAAAATGCGATTTTCAGTATCCCCGATAGTGCTGTGCTCAACCGACAATCCATATCGGTGCGCAGTTCACAAAAGTCGAAAATAACGCGTAGACAACATCTATACTGTTATTGCGACAAATATTATCATATGCCTCGATGGTTGAATTGGTTGAGACACCCGCCTAGAGTGAAGGGACGTCCAGGTTCAAACCCTGGCTGAGGTAATATTTTTCACAATAAATTTTCTGTGTTAAAAACATCGCCAGTCATGGTCGATCAGTTGCTTAATCATGGATTTTTAATTTCATTATCTCTTTTGCTTCGCTCTCATTGTAATTAAACAATTCAACAATGAATTTTATACTTACTCATGTAAACCGATGTCCTCGGTTTTATTCTCACATAAATAGCACTTTTTAACCATTCTTGGCTTTAAATGAAATTTATTATAAAGAACGCAAGAAAACGTGACTGACGCGAACACTGTATTTTCCTTTCTACAATTTTAACATAGGTCCTTTAAAATATAAAATCAATTAGAAATTAAAGAGGCCGTTTAGGACCGGGCATAGGTGTAAGTAGCCAGTTAAATTAAATTATTTAAGTGAATTCATATACCGTATTCTTTCCAACTTATCCTGTGCGCCAGTTACATACTAGTCTTAAAACACAGGTTAATCCCCGTAAGTGGAAGTGTTATCGTCAGTGAATTCACGCTTATAAATTATTTTAATAATGCTACACAGTAGCATCTAATAAATAATAAAAAAAAGGTTTGATCGTGCTATATCGAGTAAACACTCGTTAGTGAGATAATCGATGTAATTGATACGAGTATATTAAATTAATATAACTGATACAAATTATTTCTAACGTGCTCGTAGCGTTTATTAAACGAGTAAACGTTGCTTTTCTAAATGCTTTTAGTGCTTTCAATGCTTTTAATGATAATGGGTTCCAGGACTACTGGATACAAATGATTTCTAACGTGTTCATAGCGTTTATTAAACGAGTAAATGTTGCTTTTATAAATGCTTTTAGTGCTTTCAATGCTTTTAATGATAATGGGTTCCAGGACTACTGGAATTGCGATTAAAAAGATCTGGTCGGAGCTATTTTTTTACTCTGCACAAATTATAACCGAAAAGATTTTATTTCCACGGGCGCGGACGTGATCGAGCAATTCGTCTCTCGTAAAGAACGTCGCGTCTGAACCTATAAAGCGCGAAGTTGAAGAACGTATAAACCGGTTTAGGCCCTTATTCCCTGGAGCCAGGGCAGTTTTTTAGTTACTATTATTAGAGGCACACATGTGGCAGTGTCATGCTATTTGCCGACGACGACGGGACAGCGACGAGAGTATCATTTAATAAACGATCAATCAGTAAACGATAAATCGTTCGATTTTTCTTGTTTCTAAAATTGAGCAATTTTATATTCTGTTTCGAAAATCATAATTCTACCGATTCTGCGATAGATCGAAAATTGCGAGTTTCACAGTTTTTGGTAGATGAGAGATTCCTCTCGACTGCAACAAGGTTGCGCGATCGCGAACGATTCGTGTCTCTCCTCCGCGCGCTGCACACGAGTGGTGCTGCGTTGCCTCACCGCGACAACGACGCTCGTGTCCGTAATTGTTTTCGAGGCGTGCAATTGGCATCCTAATCACGGAGAGATGAGCTCGGCGGAAGATTGCATTTGCAACCGAGCGAGCGGTCGGACTGGTCGGAGTCCCACGAGAGCGAGCGGATCGCGCGCGGGACATCGCGTTGCATTTTGATCGCGCGCGATCGCGCGCACGTACGCGCGGCGCGGCGATTTGAAATAAGCGAGCGGGGCACCCGCGCGCGTACACGAGCGATACCTCTTAAGGCCTTCACACACAAAATTCCGTAAGGACGTAAAACGTAAGCGTAAGAAAATCGATCAATCACAGTCGAGAACGTAAGGCAATAACGCAAGCAGTAGCAAATCCAATCTGTTGATTTCCTTACGGTTTACATGTTACGTGTTAAGTAGATTCGTGTGTGAAGGTCTTTATAAGATCTAAGTTATGCGTTTCACATTATACGACCTCGAGATGCTCTACCATTTCGTTGGCTGGACGGAATCTTAAGCTAATGGCACACGATACTATTTTTTCTACTGGATTGCTTATGAGAGCCAATCAGGTTGCAGAGTTTTCGATCAGGTGACTTAAGGCTAAATCCTGATTGGCTCTCGTAAGTAATCCAGTAGGAAAAATAGTATCGTATGCCGTTAGCTTTAATATCGTACGACAAAATGTAATAGTATCTTAAAACTATTCATGGTGAAGCTTAAATATAGGGACTATAACGAATGCCGAATACACTCTCTAGAGTCCCACAAATAAGAATTTGGACGCCATTTGTCATTTTTAGCTGAAATAATATGCTTTCCAAAATAAATAAAATATAAATTTCTTCATGCCTGTAACACGTGGCGGATCTCAATAAATCTACATTTGTACATCCATCCATTCCTCTGCCTCCCGTTGAGACAACACCCGCCTTTCTACGCGAGTCGCGTGAAAAAAGGCGTACCTCCTCCGTCGGACCTGCTACGTCGGATCACCGTTAGATAACGAAAAAGCCACAAAACAGCGCGCGTGTTTATTCCGGTCGACTGACGCATGCTGACAATGCTAACAATGAGTTTAGTGAGTACTTCTCACCTTTTTTCCTCTCATTTATTTTTAATGTAATGAGAGCCGCGTGAATTTTTCCCGCGGATAATAAAAGCGACTGTAATTGTGCATACGCGTTTACAATATAACGTTAATTATGATTACAAAATGCGTGTACGGTTTTATTAATTTAGCCGAATCGCATCGAAAACTGGTTCTTTAGCTGTAAAGTAAATTCGTGAATCGAGTCGAATTCTGGGTCGAGCTAATGTTTCGATATAATGTAAGCAATTGATTAATGAAATGCTCAAATCGTATTATTTCACAGTTTATCTCTATATGCTGTATATACAGGGTGTTCTGTAATACTTGCCTCACCTCTTATTTACGGATAGAGCGGATTAGACTGAGTCGAAAAGTTCTGTACCACTTTGCAATTTTCGCAATAGTTAACGAGTTATTAATTATTAAAAATCGCTGTCTTAGCCCGGTCTACCGCCCAATTCAAACGCACGGCGAGATGCGGCCGTCTCACGATTGGCGTTGCTAGGCGCGCGGAGAGTTGTTTATTATACGTGGCCGTTACCGTGTGTCATAAATCACTCCCCGCGCGTCTAGCAACGCCAATCGTGGGACGGCAGTATTTCGCCGTGCGTTTGAATTGGTCGGTAGGCCAGGCTAAGACAGCGATTTTTAATAATTAATAACTCGTTAACTGTTCCGAAAATTGCAAAATGGTAGAGAACTTTTTCACTCAGTCTAACCCGCTCTATCCGTAAATAAGATTTGAGACGGGTATTATATGTATAACACCTTGTATATTAATTTCGAGTGACAAACAATGAAGCCTTTGCCGCCACGCTTGCGATGTATTGCGATGTATACGGTGTATGACAGTGGTGAAAAGGCACATCGAGTGGTGTCGACAGTTAAAATACATCGAAGTCGAATCTTGGTAGGTTTCCGGTGTATTAATTATGGGGATCGATTTCGCTGGATAGATGCGTTGGAGAACGCGGCTTGCAATACCCGCCGCATACGGATCGCAGACGAAATCTGCAGACTATAAAAGTTTTTCTGTGCGCTCGCGCACACACATCTGCAAACGCACACGCTCGCTTGTGCGCGGAAACGAAAGCGCGTAGACGGCTGGCCACGAGGTTGTGACGTAGATGAATCGCGATTCAACGGCGGATGTAATTACATCGCAAACGAGCCGGAAGTGGAAACGGTCCGAGCGCTTTTGCGGCCTAAAGAGCGGCTTTATACGCTCGAATTACGCCGATCGACCGCGATCGGCCGTCGCGCCGCGCCGGCTCTCTCGCACATTGTGTTCGCGACGCGTACGCACGACATACGCACGACGAAGAGACGGTACAGAGCTATGCGTTTCTCGTCACGGCATTTCCGACTTGAAACTTGCATTCTTGGAGGAAAGGATCCCGGAAGATAAATAACAGTTTAATAATCTTAAGACGATAAAGATGACAAAGTGATTTATAAATCTCATTGTTGCTTCATCTTGAAAACAACCAAAATGTATCCCTCCTTCACCTCCTTGTCAGAATAAGGTACAATCTTTTACGAGATTTGTTATCCATATAAGAATTGTCTTATTTAACTTAGCGTCTTAAAAACATATCAAGAAATATATGAGCAACTACGATGCAGATTAACTTTTCTTATGTTTATATGCATATGTATTTAAATATTTCATGAGTTTATCGTGCATATATATACCTTGTCGAGCAGAGTTAAAATTAATTAAATGGATGAATGTGGTTCACCATTAAACGTATGACTAAATTAATACAAGAATCTCCTTTCTTTACGCGGAGACAGAAATATCACGATGCTTAATGCTCGAGGGGGAAACCGCTGACCAAAATCTTGTACACCAATGCCCACTAATGCTTAGTGGGCATTACTTTATCTTATTATCTTATTACATCTTATTTATCTTGTTTTATCTTATTTTATTTTTATAATGCCCCGGCAAGACCTAATGCCCAAACTAATGCCCAAAAGTGCCTAGTAATGCCCAGTAATGCCGCAAATTTGTACACCACAATGTCCTGAGCGGTTTTCCCCTCGCTAATGCTCATATCACACTAGCGACTGCGATTGCGATTACATCGGCGATTACGATTGGCTATGTCAAATTTTAATGGCTGTCTAGCCAATCACAATCGCAGGTGTTATCGTAATCGCAGTCGCGAGTCGCATTAAAATCGAAGCCGTCTAAGCAGCGCGTAACGATGGTCGCAGGTAATGCCGAGGGAATCTTGTCCCGGGTTGCTGTTGACTCTGGTGTCGGTATTCGTCGGTCTGTGCGAGTCCTCCGCCGCCGGCAGAACCGCGACTTCCGACGCCCAGCAGCCACAACCGCAGCCGCCGCAGCAGCAGCCGCAGCCACGGTCGCAGCAACAATATCCGGTTTGCGAGTCCGGCCTGGAGTTCTGGTCTGCCGAGCGCGCCTCATGCTGGCCATGCACCCGATGCGCCCCCGAGTTCACCTTGAGCCCCTGCGTGATTCACAAGGATGCGATATGCGGTCCGCTGTCGGCGCTTGAGCTCGACTGGTCCTTCCTGTCGTCAACGGCCAGGAAGAGATCCTCGCGAGCCGGTGATGACGACGGCACCGTCACCCCGAACGTGATCCCACGGTTCCCCGAAGAAAAGACGAAAGAAGGGTCCTTCACGCAAGCCGATAATCTCGTCAACCTCGATTGCGAGGACAACGGAAGCGGCAAAGAGTCGGTCCTCACCGCGCAGGAATCAAAAGTAATTTCACATTTATTTTTATTTTATTATTAAGACCTCTAATCTCTCCTAATTAAGACTTCTAATTTCAATTATAATTTCCATTTTAATATTTTCATATTTTAATTTTAATCGATATAATAATCTGTGGCTAGAGTGGGAAAGCAGTTTGTGAAAAGATTTAACTAGTTAACTCGGTTCCATGTAAAATTACGGACGCGTACGTATTGGACAAATTGTAATTTTTTGTTCCGATCCTTATAATCATACCAGTTATTGAATCGTGTTAATCGGGATTTAATTGATTTACGAAGATCATCGAAGAGAATGACGATCCCCTGTTAATAGATGTCAAACGATCAACGTGCGTCCCGAGTCGGCGAAAGCCGGTAGCGCTTTCGCTCTGTTTAATATGCGGCATAGAGTCACATTGCTAAAGTCGATTGCATTTCACGCCGTGTCTCGAAAGTGAATAATAAAATATAATAATAAACCTTATCGATGTGTTGAATAATTTTTTCGAAAGAGACAAAGTCGCAGAGCGGAGTTGACGTGGCAAGGGTAACACGCCGGTTTTATGATGCAGACGGCACACGATCCCCGTGACAGGAGAAAATCGGTCGCCGAGGACAATCTACCGTGGGACTGGCAGACTGGCGCTTTGGTCCTCGCGGTATGCGCCTGCATACTATTCTTCATGGTGGCGGGCTGCTCGGCTCTCGTCTACGCGAGGCAGTGGCGGCGAATGAAGAGGAACTTTGAGCCAGGTAAGAAGAAATTCGCGAGAGAAATACAACACACATATTATGTATGATAACTTGAGGTAATCACTTGAACAAAGAAATCTGAACTCTTACGTTCCCCGAACATTTGGAATCTCGAGACGGTCCCTCCCCCGCAGAATCCAGACGAATACGAGCTTCTATTGAGAATTCGCTTCTGGCATATTTTAACGGGTCCGACTTTGCAATAGTTTTTAATTTTTTGTCCGGTCATTTTTCTTTTCGCTTCACGGAATTCACGTAATCGAAATAATCATTGTCGATCGCTATGCATCCGCGATACTTTCCTCCGAAGATGGGGGAGGATCCGTATCTCGCGAGGCAAAGGGAGCCGCACTTGTCAGAGTCGGGATGTCGACGGAAAGAACATACGTGCACGTATACACACCCGCGGGTCAACGAGAGAGAGAGAGAGAGAGAGAGAGAGAGAGAGAGAGAGAGAGGAGGGGGGGGGGGAAAGTCCCTTAAAATGCACGGCGGGATTTTCTTCATTAGAGGGCCGATCACGGCCGCTCCTCACCTTGGATCGACCTATCGCGCCCGGATATGACGTCCCCAACGTCCAGCGTGCGGTTCGTACCGTCGTCTACGCTGTCCTCGTCATCGTTCCGTGTTCGCTACACCCCGAAATATTAGTATGACAATTATTGCTACGGGTACGAGTCGATTAACGGTAACAACCAGCCGAGCTCTCTACTTGGCTCTTTTCGCATAGCTCGCTAATCTTTTGCGATATGCCTGAGCAGAATGTATACTTAATTTTTTTAAGCGGATCTATTAAAATTAACTTTAAAAAGTGAAAAGTATCACTATATAAATGTATTTGTCCTCGTCGGGATTTATACCGGTGGAAATGAAAGCGAGAAGAAAGAGATGGCTTCTTTCATTCATAACTCCGTTCATTCATTTATTTATTAGAAATTGTACTGTAGAGCGAGTTACGTTTTCAGACCCACTCACGTCTCGAGCTACGTAATTTCCAATTTCACGCGTCCAAGAAAATCTCTTTAAGTTGATAATATTAAACTAGGAAAGTATGAATAAAAATAAACATGACCGAGTGAATAAAACGAACAGCCAGTACCCATTTGGCATAGCTTCTCTTTGCGATATTTTCGAACTTGCTCGAAAGAACCCTCCGCAATTCATCAAAAGATGAGTACGTTAATTCTTAAATCCTCGCGATAATTTTTGTGAATATATCTGTTTCATAAGAATATATAGGCTAAGAAATTTTATTAACAAACAGTTAACTATAATGTCGAACGTTGCGAACATCTCTCGCGTTATTAAAGCTTGTCCAGAATAAATTCAAATTAAATCGTTCCCAGCAAATACCAACTAACGGTAACATATCATCAATATTATAATTTACTATTCAGTTACAGCAATGTAACTGATACGTTATACAATATGTGTTAATCAGAGTTGGGAAAGTTACTTAATAAAAGTATCTAGTTACAGTTACAGTTTTTTCACTAAAGAGTCACTTCCCAACCCTGTGTGTTATATTCAGAGTTGAGAAAGTTACTTTATGCAAGTATCTAATTACAGTTACACTTTTTTCGCTAAAAATGTAACTACTTACGGTTACAAGTTACCAATTCTGAAAAGTAACGCGTCACAGTTACAGTTACTCAAAAAGTAACGAATCGTTACTTTGCAGTTACTTTCTTGCGATGATAAAAATATCAAATCTGTATTTGAATTGTAAAGCGTCGATAAAGGCGTTTATGCGCAATCGCAAGGCCTAATGCGATCTGTGGAGGTTTAAAATACATATTAAGTAACTCCGAGGGGAAAACCGCTGACCAAAATCTTGCACACCAATACCCACTAATGCCCAGTGCGCATTACTTTATCTTGTTATCTTATTTTATCTAACTTATCTTGTTTTATCTTATTTTCTCTTATTTTATTTTTATAATGCCCAAGCAAGGCCTAATGCCCAAAAAATGCCTAGTAATGCTCAGTAATGCCGTAAATCTGTACACCATAATGCCCTCAGCGGTTTTCCCCTCGAGTAACTCTTAATGTAACTATTAAATTAGTTACCAGTTATCGAAAAAAAATGTAACTGAGTTAAGTTACAGATGGAGAGAGAGTAACGAAGTTAAGTTAAAGTTACCAAAAAAAGTAACTGTAACTGTAACTTCGTTACAAGTAACGGAGTTACTTTCCAACCCTGCTTATATTACATCTATATTGAGGAGTAAAAAAACTAATATCGATGTAGCTGTCAGTTGGCGTTTATTAGGTTCTGTTAAATTCCGAAAGCTCTCATTGTCAGCCTCAACGTTGCTCGAGTATACGCGTTTTTCTTTCGGCAGACACCACGTGTAATCCTCACGTAAGGAGAGTATCGCGTAACGACCCTATCGCTGATACTCGACAAGGCTCGGGCGTTTATGCTGCAACGTGTGTACGACATTACTATCTGCATTTGCATAACGTGCAGTACGCAGAACTCCTTCTCGCAGGAACCTTCCTCGTCGTCGCTTCGTCTCTCCCTCTTCCTCCTCCTCCCCCCCGCCCCCGCCTTCTTCCGCGAGTCGACGTATCGCGCCACGTATCGCGTGTACGTTTGTGGGAACCGATTCAACCACGTGTTGTTAATGAACGCCGTATGAATGAAGCCTCTCTCGTCCGTTCAGCGAGTGTGTGCGCGCGCACTCGCGCGTGTATCGCCTCTTAAATCTACACTTTCGGCGAAACGCACGCCGCGCGTCTGCCTCGGCGAATCGTACATTGTGTTTCAGATTAATCGTGTGATATACGAGATATCATGATGTCGTCATCAGATAAAGATTTATTTCTAGAAATAAACCGTATCTAAATTCATCGACCAATTCGGGGCCGCCGGCTCGATATGATTTATCTTTGCTCTCTCTTCATTCTTTATGTCGTTAATCAACGTTTTAACGTCACGCTTTAAAGAAATCTTGTTCAAATCAAGCGCAGTCAAGAACTCATTATCTGTCTACGAGTATTAATTTGCGAGAGACTACTTATATTTAAAGTGAAACACACACACGGCAGCTAAAAGCACAAGATGCACAAGATGATACAAAATTAATTTCTGAAAGCGTCAGAATTATAACGGAACTTAGAAATCGGACTCTTTGGACATGGTTCGAAAAGATGAAGAAGAAAAAACGAATTATTGCAACAGAAATCGTGATTTTACAGGACAAATTTCGAATAATATTCTCGTTTTGCGTCTCAGAGAGACGTCCGCATATAAAAATAACATTTCGAGGCTACCTCGAGCGTGTTGCACGCGAAATCCGTAGAATTTTATTGCAATTGCAATCCCATTAATATTTATTGCTTGCGAATTATGTACATAGTTAATTAATACTAATTATACGCACGGTATAATCGCGCGCGTCCGTCCGCGGGAGCGCGCCCGCCCGCGTGTGAGTGATTTATGTGTATTACTATGTAATATTAATAAAAGCGCGGTTGTGCCGTTAACGTTGCTACATTCTACCTGTTACTTTGATCGTACTTTGTAATACAGATCATTGCATTATCGCCGGAAGTGTATATTATCGAAGCAGGTCGCGATCGCTATCGCTCTCGTCAGCCTCTCCAAACAACTGCAACGGTGCGAACAGTATTATATTCTTTTTTTTCCCCGCTACTTCTTCCATTTTTTCGCCAAGTTATCAAAGTTCTTTATTTCCAATAATTATACCATAATCAGATAAATTGGTAAATTGATAATCGACAAACGGAGGTGAAAAAATTATTTCTCGAGGAAAAGAAAGACTGTAATGTGAGCCGTTCCTCAATTATGCTCGATTAAAAGGTGATCAGATTTGAATGTTACAAGTGCACATAGAATTTTATTTTAATTTTATTTTAATTTTATTTAGAATTTTATTTTAATAAACTTGAGAGATATGTAATGAAGTGTAAGATACACTTTCGAAAATAGACTATGTAAGCATTGTGTGCCAAAGTAGTACGTTTTGAAAGAAACGTCTCGTTTTTCAATTGTAGCCATCTTGAGCGCACGTTGCAGCAGCGTGCCGCGCTGGCTCAAGCAAGCGTCGCGTGTCTTCTTTTGTTTAACTTTTGTTTAACATACGGCACATACGCGATCTTTGCGACGTTGGCGACGCGGGCACCGGCGAGGCACCCGCGATCGGTTTTTATTAAAAATGAACAGCGAGCGAGTCTAGGCGAGGAGGGCAGTTCCTCGCAGGACACCGAATAATAAAGACGGAATCCTGATTTACCCATTACACAATATTCATTTTGCTTGTCCAACATTTGCGTGTATACAATATAATTTATATATAAAGTCTTGTATGTAAGTCTATTTTATTCACATGCGTGAAAGAGAAGAGAAGAACGGTCTTATTTAACGTCTATGCTTTTATAAAATGAACATAATTGGTAACTGTGAAACGGACGCTCGATACGCGTGTGTAATCGGTACCGTTTGATTGCGGCTGACAGTCGGCCTACCCGGTGCTTCTGATTAGAAATAGCGGTCGGAGGGGCGAGAGGATCGAGGACTTATGGGGATACTGTTCGAGCCGGGAACCATTAGGGGAACCGAACGTACACACCGTGGGCCTCCGGAGAAAATCGAGCCGCATTCCATAGACGTCCACGACGCATTCCACGTCGACTGCACTCGTCCATGCGATGTGCGTTGCGAATGCATATTATACGACGTTTATCATCTCGGGAAATTTTATTCGGATGACGTGATTCGCCTAATTTATACACGTGTATATTAATCTGGGCATTAAATTCCAACAGATATAACATATAAATATGTTTTCATGTGGACAAATGTTTTCTACTCGATCTATTTAGTAGTAAAAAATCTTTGATTTAAACAAAAAATTAAAAGTTTAAGCTGCTTACTTTTGATATTTGTTTCAGTTTTGTTATTTGAAGAATTTATAATTCGCATCTTGTGTGTGAATAATTTGTTTGAAAATTGTTATAATTTTATAAGAAAAACTCAATTATTTTCTCTAAAGTCAATAATTTCATTTGAACAATAGGTATATTTTGCGTATAATAATATTGAAATTTATCGTTAGCTGGTTTCAAACCTGAAAATAATGATACATTGTAAGGTATAATTTATAGTTTTGATAATTGCAGATTCTAATTCTGATTTAAAGTAAAATTTTTAAACGAGACTGATAAAAACACTTTCAAAAAATTTACACTTTCAAAATCGTAAAGGCACGCAGATGTAGAATAAAATCTCTTGCATTTGTAAATTTACTTTTGTATTAAATTTATGTTTATAAACGACACTTTAACAAGACAAGATTTGCGAAATTATCTAATTTCTAGCGCCTGAAGAATATTTACAGTATTTACAGAACAAATGATTTAGGTCGGTGACTATGAATTTTTTTACTTATTGTTAGACCACTTTCGCAGTTATTGGCGAACGTTTGGCGAATTTACGTATCACTAATGGATCGCATTTTTTGTTCCAGCGGGACTCGAGGAGATCTCGGCCAGGTTGAACCTGATGGTGAAGGCGGAGCTGGCCGAGCTGGTTGCCGGTGCACCAATGAACCCAGGTGATCCCGAGACCAGATGTCAGTATCTCGAAAAGCTTTTAGGTAAGCACGGTCAGAATTTTAAGGCTCTCGTGCTCGTAGCTATAAATCCTCGCGACGACGACCATTCGACGTTACCACCTGTGAGAGTTGGTTATCGCTCCTCTCTAACAAAAAGAAGCTGATATACACACACATCTAGATAGAAGTCTCAATACTAGCGATGAAGATACCTGTATCCAAGTATTTGAATTACTCCCAAAATCGAAAATGATACGTAACCGATTGTCGTTCTTCTAAAAATTGAAGATGCACGTTTACTTTGTGTAAAATGTTTTAGCAATTCCAAACAAACTATTTTACTGAATTCGATATTAGATGTTGGAGTGCGAATTTTTTAGTTTGAACAAAGAACTTTACTCTCCCGTACAAGTTAAATATCACACGCGAATTTATTTATTTTCAAATATTTCTAAGTTTTTATTGAAAAAATTTGAAATATTTGAATATTCCAAACTCACCTTCAATTTTACTCGAAAAGTTAGTGTCGCGGAATTGCGTGAGAAAAGTTTAAAGTGCAGACGAGAACGTTGCTCAACATCGGCGAATGCGAGGGTGAAATCTAGGCGTAAAATGTGGCCTACGTCGTTACGTACTACGCGTCGCTTTTGCAATCAGCACTTCCATTGCGCGCAGCCGTGTAAGATGTAGTTGCGTGCACGTTAGCAATGATCATTTCGTGTGTCGAAAGGAGGAGGGGGCGAGAGAGGACCGGACGACAAACGGACGGGTACGATCGCGCGGGGGACGGCTAGCAATCTCAAGCGCACAATAAATTCGCTTAACTCGCATCGCACTTGAAAGAGCTTCACACGCGCGCGCGCTTCACACGGGGTGACCGTGAAGTACCGTCCGGTTGTCGGCACGCCGGAAGCTGTATGTGTGTCTGTGTCTCTCTCCCACTCTCCCTCCCCCTCCCCCCTTTCTCTCTCTCTACCTGTACGTGATTTAAATATTAGGCGCGAGTCAGTCTGTTCGAGCGAATATCTCAACAATTAGCTTTGATCGATTGAAATTTTAGATTTGCGATTGAATCAAGATAATCAGTGATAGATAATCACTCGCTTAGAGAACGCAACGTTTTTCCGGTACGAGGGTTTCCATGCGTGCCGGATTATATGCGGAGATGGCAGGAGGAAACAGGGCCAGGAGGGAGAGCGAGAGGTTCCGCGTTGACATAGATACACTTGGCACGTGGCTCATTATCGAACTTTCATTCAGTGTATTGTTCCTTTCCGCTACGATACGCGTTGTTTGCATAATATGTAATATCACGTTCCGCATTTTTGCCGCGAGGGGAGAGGAAGACCGGGGATCTTGAGTACAGAGGGACGCGCGCACGCATGCGGTACCTAAATAATTTATATCACCGTCGACATATGCGGATCTCTTTTCAATCTCGCGCTTTTCTGTTTATTATACATTTTATATGTAACACTTTTTTCCAGAATATAAATGGATGTAACCAATTGATCGTCGATTGATATAATCATCATCGGACGAACATATTTCTCAATCGTAAATCTTAATTTTACTCTTAAATAAATTAAACATTTTGCATTTTACCGAAAAAAAACCGAAGAGTCTTTCCCGAGAAAAAGCGATATGCAGAATTAAACGCTTGGCCGCGTCTTACAAAATTGAGGTCTCGTGCGTCGGGTCGTTGCGTCTTTATAAATTGACCTGGGAATTTCCGAGATGTTAAGTTCCGATCTTCGGGCTTGGGCGAAACCGCGCTCCTCCATAATATCCGCTGTATCCACGCACGTGATAAATTGCATTTCGTCGCGGGTAGACGCGCACGTGCGTTACGTCAGAGCGCGGATTTTCGCGTACGCTCGTGCCACGCCGCGCCGCGATATTTTTGGGATGCAGTGGCTGTGCCTGCCACAGACGCGGGCAGGTTTTAAAACAGATGAGACGGGACGGGACGGGGCGCCGCTACGATGTATATACTCTCACCGCGAGAGAATTATTTATTCGTGCGCGAAAAGAAAATGACGCGATTGTTCGGACGTTTATCTGCCTTCATTCATCCGCGCGGCGCGGCGGTGCGACTTGGCCCGGCTCTAACTTTAGCGCGCTTAAGTCGCGCCAACGCCGGCGGATTTGTGGATAATAAGCACGGTTTACAGGATGATACGGTAAAATGGTTAAAGTGTTTTTACAAGCAAGATTGTTTGCTATTCTTTGCCGGAAAGTCCAGCTTATTAGATTGAGAATATAAGGTCCACGCGCGCGCGCGTATGAGAAAAAGAGTTCGTCGTCGAGCCTCAGTAAATGAGTGAGATTGTCAAGAGAATATGTCCTGTTCTGTTTTTGTTGGTTTCTGCGTTATTTTCTTTTGCTGTTCTCTTATCCGCGTGAAATTTCCATACTTATTGATATTTCGTCTATTATTTATATTTATTTTCTTCTGTACCCATACAGCGCACAAATGTTGAATTAACATCTCAGTAATGTTCTATTGCAACATTGCAATATTGCATCAATGTTACGAAATGTAGATTCAACGTTGAAAAGGGTATAATTATTTAGATTAACACATCCACCTCCAAT